GTCCATCCTCTGGCTTAGTTTTTGAAAACTATGTTAACGAGTGCTTAAGCAACACTTCAATGGTGACTTGGCAACAATGTTGCCAACCGCACTTGTTTTGTTGCTCGTAGTGTGAACATAGCATAACAGTCTTCCCTGGAGCTGGGAGTGTTTTTAGATAAACAATGGGTTAAATGAGCTGTAAAGAGCTTTATAGGCTCTTTAAGTTGACAGACACAATTAGAGACTAGATGACATTCAATAGTAGAGCATTTTCTTCCAAATGCAGACCATCTTTCAATATTAAAGCCCATTTTAAGGAATTAAAAGGGTTCATGTTTACAACAGGACTGACTTTAAACCAGGTTAAGAGAGGACTAAACTCAAAGATGGGTTTATAATTAATCTGGCTGAATTCAAAACTAGGTTTGACATTTTATTGCAACAAGACGTTCTGATAAACTGTGATTTAATCCAAATGAATTATAGTCGTGCAACCGATTCAAAGAGATCAGTCGTCCTTTTTATTTAGTGTTCCTTTCTGTTCAGTATTGGGCAAGACTTTCCCACTTCCTCTTTATATTGTTTCTTTCCTTAGAATAGCTGACATTTGGGAATTTTTGCTTTTAGTCATCTATTTGAGCATCAGTCACGATTAACCTAAAAAGACTAAAACTGTTAAAGTAGACAACGCTAAGTTACTGAAATGTGAAGTAATTGAATGAAAAATTATTTAAAATCTCATAAACTTTGCTGAAATCTTTTCTCCATCTATCTCTTTTGGTTTCGCTATCTAACCATTGTTTGCTTCCCGTGTGAGAGAAAGTTCAACTTGCTGGGCTTTCAAAGAAGTTTCCTTGTTTTCTTGCGTTGACTATATTTGCAGCTGTTCGCAGTTAGATTCAGGGGTGTTAGATTCAAGACTCTCACAGTCATCAAGTTTATCATCACATCATACCAAGGAACGAGAAACTGGTATTTTGTTCAGTCTGGGGTACAACATTGTACTTACAGCGGACTTCAGAGGTCTGAGGTGATTCAGGTTAATGTGGATCGACACCATTGTAACACATGAGCACAGAGAACAAGAGCACTACTGTTTCCTTCAACCTCGCTTTTATTTTGGATCCCCCTCTTGCCTCTCAACAATAGAGGAGCAACCTGAAAGTCCTGCCAGCATCAGTGTTCTGGAGTAAATACAACCAATGAGCTTTTGAAATGATGCATTACATCGATGGTTTGTGAGGTAAGAAGGATCCAGTGAGCTCACCGACAAATCCATGAAGAGTGGAGATGATGGTTTGCACAACGTCTGCACTCCTACAGTTAGTGAGAAGAAACAAACACAAGAAGCTGAGAAACAAAATACAACACAACCTTAACACTAAACAGCCCTGTCTGATAAATGAACAATTAGCAAAGTCATGAGAAAACTGCATGTTCATGTGCCACTCCTGCTGGAGAATGACAAACTTAGTTTCCTTGTTGTTTTATATTTTTAAACTAAACTATGTCATGTGTGTCCGGGAGCCAAACATCCTACAGTGTGCACATGACGGAGGCCCCTGGTTCAAAGCTTCTGTGTGTTGTTATCAATATGGAGGCCTCCGGTGCTGAAGACGGTGACATCCCTGATTGATCCGATCGCGTCTCGAAATGCAATGGAGGATCACAGCTACGCATCAACACGGAGACGCAAAAGTTGCGACAACCGGGGTCATCCGTCGGTCAACTTAATATCTGTTGTATATCTATATCGGTTGTATTAAGATCCAATGTGCTCACAGCAGTCAGGGGATTGTTTGAGATCAATCACAACGTTACGTCAGCTGATTTCTGTCTGTTGTCCAAACCTTTTGGGGTTCTTTTGGCCATGCAAAGTGAAAACTGCATTATGGCACTATCACCTGTCGTAAATAATACGTGTCTAGCACTTTAAAGCAAGAAACTGGTAAATATAAACACACACACACACACAACCTCCCATTGTTCCTGTTCATACTATCCTGTAGGAACACCGTGATACAAACTTATATGTCATCCAACATAAAAAAAACTGTAGTTAATATAAATATGTGGCTCTTAAAAGCAGCTAAAGTCCTACTATATTAAAAGGAACATAATTATAACCAAAAAAATCTTAAATATGAGTGTTAGTAAAATATGAATACATTTGAAAAACATGATTAAAAAATGTCTTTCTAACTGTCTGGCTCAATCCCACGCGTCTGTAAATATAATTCATATAATATATATATTTACTTTTAATGCATATTGTATTTTCTACCGCATACTATCCTGTGACTGTTTATGGCACATTTAAGGCCATACTTATGTCAACATCTATTCCTTACGTATTTATGTCATACTGTACTAAGTATCACATTTTATATATTTCTTTGATGACATAATATACTATCAATGTTATGGCACACTATAGTATGAACATTTCAAAGTATCAAGACAATATTTGGCTTCACTGAGGTGTCATTGCTCTGAGTTCATCCAGCTTCCTGTGCTCTTAGATCTCGTCTCAGAGGCGGCTGAGCTGCTTCTGATGAGCCTCTGTGTGGTTCTCCAGCTGTTCCCTCACTGAGACAAAAAAACATCACATGTTGCTCTCCTTCAGGTTTCTTCCTCTTTTTTCCTCCCCGTTAAAGGTTACATACATCAACAGGTTCATGCATGAAGTCTGTACAGCAACATCATCACACAACAAGGGAACCTAGCGACAACAATTAGCGCCACACTCCACTCATTGAACTGCAGCTATACTCATAATAATGTGTATTCTTATGTTGCATCATAGTGGATAAACTAAATCATGTATGGAGAAGCCATGCACATCCCCACAATAATACTGTCATGTACAGCGGCCATAGACTGTATAGATAGCGGCGCGTCTTCCATTGGTATGAATGAATGTTGGATGCTGTCACACTACATGTGCTTTACTCTACAGCTAAGCTCAGTTATTATAACCAATGATATGATAATCAGTGAGGTTATGTAGGCTTCAGGAATTACATGCAGTTGAGTCACAATAAGAATGTGTATAAATTATCATTAATATATAATTATATTATGTCTGAATCCTGTCCTGTTAGTTAACGTATGATGCGAAATCAAATTACCCTAATTACTAGAATATCTGTGGAACACTGTGGTCCAAAAAAGACTCACTTCAAAGAGCCTGGGCTCTTTCCTGTGCTTGACCCTTTCAGAAGCTTTGTTATCCAGCATTGATCAGCAGTGTTTTCTTATAGATTTTATGAAACCAATCAATCCAACAGTGAATGTCTTCAGAGGTTGATCAGGATTTGTTGTTGTCGTTAGCTATAAAGGATTAATCTCAGGCTGAACGCAATGATGCGTTGATTGGGTTGAGTCTTCTTCTGTGTGGATCTTAAACCAACAAGACGTACACCGACACCTACTGTGTCGGACTGAGTAGAGACATGCCATTATATTACATATATACAGACTACGACTCCATGTTCTACGATGAAGAAGTGGAAGGGGAGGAAGAAGATGAAGAGGACGATGATGAAGAAGAGGAAGAAGATGATGAACATGAACGTGACCGACTTCTGAGTTCCTGCCTTGAGTTGAGACAAAAGATGACTTCTACTCTCTTTAGCGCTGAAAATCTTTTCTCAGTCCGTTTTGGTGTGGAATGTCCTGAAGAAGCTATGCCCCCAGTCCCCCAGAGCTCAGAAGAGTCCACCAAGAGGAGCAGGGAAGAGGACGACCACGAGGACGCAGCATCCTCCACTTCAGGCCTCGGATCCTCCACAAAGAGGACCAGAGTAGAGGACTACAGGGAGTCGGCGCCCTCCACTTCAGGCTTCGGATCCTCCACAAAGAGGACCAGAGAAGAGGACTACAGGGAGTCGGCGCCCTCCACTTCAGGCTTCGGATCCTCCACAAAGAGGACCAGAGTAGAGGACTACAGGGAGTGGGCGCCCTCCACTTCAGGCCTCGGATCCTCCACGAAGAGGACCAGAGAGTCAGTGCCCTCCACCCAGACCCACAGCAGACCACCGGACCACTCTCACAGCACCCCAGTGAGTCCCAGATATAGAGGACGTAGTTTGTCTCCATCTGCTCCTTCTGTGCCGGTGGGTTTGGGAAGCTCCTCACACACACAGGAAGCCGTCAGCAGCTCTTTGCGTCCGCTCAGAAGTCAAGAAAGAGATGGACGGTTCAGGTCGAATGAGAAATATGAATTCTGAAATGTTCAGTTTGTTACATAGAATAAACTTTGTTAGTGTGAACTCTATTACTGTATGTTTGTGTCCTGAATAGTACGATGCAATACATGTAAGACAAACCTCAATATATCTTTATATTAGAAACAATATAATCTTATGATTCAGAAACCTGACGTCTATGACGTCTGACATAAAATAAATATTATGCAAATTCTGATTTAGTGTGTTTCAATTTTCACTTGAATCAAATGCATTACTTGTATTACCCTATTAGTACTAATACAACTGTACAGTACTAGACATAGTACTCAAAATATTACAAATAAATATATGGGGATGCTTTAGATTATGGCCCACAGTCATAAATAATAAAATAATAATAAATATTTAGTGTGGTTCAAAGGAACAAGATGTAAAGTTAAGGAATAATGTATGAATAAATATAAAAAATAAATATAGTACAAATAGATTGATACTGTGTTCGATACATATTCTTTTGTTACAGGATCATTACTGAGCAACAAAGATGGAGGTTTGGGGGAAGATGGGAAATGAGTTGTGTAGACGATACTTTGAGACAAAGTTAGCGACTAGCTGGTGAGAAAAGAGGAACATTTAGCAGCTAAAGAGACAGATCATTTCCTCAACAGTTCATAGACAAAGAGAGCTGAGAGGAGAGTGAATGTCGGACTCCAAATAACTGCTGATGCTGAACAAATGGCGTAGGAAAAAGAAGTTTAGAAAACTCAAATGTTCGAGCCAGTAAAACATAATACAATATTAAATAAAACTGCACGAGATGTTAAATGCTTTCAAATCTTTTATATTTTTCAAACTTTACAAATAGTGCAACAGTAACATAAAAACCAGAAATAAAAACAGCAATCCTTCTGACAGCTTGTGACTCATTCACACGAGTGGTGGTCAGAGCGGCAAACGTGACAACTGCAAACGTTTCAGCGTAAAACCAACGGCGCTGTTACAGAACGACCTCACGCTGAAGTAAAAACACTTTTCAGTGCAAAAACAAGGAGGAAGTTTCCTTTAATTCACTTTGAGCTAATGATAATATCACGGTCGTCTGCATAAAGTAAAGGTATTTTCAAAATAAAAGGCAATGTGTTTGTTAAACCTCATCAGAACATTTTCTCAATCAAAGGTGAAATACAAAATCCTACATGTATAAATATTGCTATGTCACAGTCATCTTACAGAGAGGATAAATGCTACTGTACTGTGTGAACATTCTCTACACAGACGGGAGACAAATGCTACATGATGAGGGCTGTTAGCTTTGGTTCTGTGTGGCTGCTTCTCCAGTTGACGACTTGAATAAATAGCAAAACTTTAAATCTACCCAATAAGTTATTTAAAATGGCTGCTTCCCTTTATCCCATCAAACAATATGACGTAAACATTTCAACATGTCAAAACACAAAAACTCAGACTGCTTCTCGTGTCCAAACAGCTTCTGTAACAGCAAACGTATCCAAACACAAGGGCAGGACAGTTCCAATGGAATCACTCATTGCATTGAGAACATTGAGTTTCTGGGGCTGGAGCCATATTTGTGGTTCTGTAACCTTAAAGGGACAGTCCACCCTTAAAATCAAACCTACATGCGTTTCCTCTTATCTGTAGTTATGTTCATCAGTCTGGATAGTTTTGGTGCGAGTCGCAGTGTCGCAGCTCGGCCGAGGAGGACGCCATGGACATTCACATCTCATTCTTCCTTCTGTGCAGTGATACGGTCGCCGGGGGGTGTAGTTTGGTAGAAAGAAAATAGTTCCTACATCCAACTGCCAAGCACCATCTGGTTCCATTTTTTTGGAGAGAAGGCAGACTTCACTTGGCAACTCACACCAAAACTATCTAGATTGAAAAATAGATTAAGGTGAGAGGAAAATATGTGTTTTTTGGTTTTGGTGTGAACTGTAAATCCTTTTTTTTTTTAAATCCCAAACCACTAAATCTTTCTTTAACACTAACCTAAGTCTGTTTCCAGCCTAAACTGAGACTTCTCAGCCTGCCATGACTAACAGTCACCAGGAAACACTGAATCCCTGTAACTATGAATAGTGAATATGAACTATACCACTAGATTTTTGTTATCAGCGGGTCCAATCCCAACATGCTCAGAACTACTTCTCCTGTTTTTGGCATCTCATATCTGTATCAGACATCTCAAAGTCTCGTACATACTTTCAATCAATTCACAGTCTGTAACAACAGTCACTAAACAACAACACACAGCACAGAAACTGCAAAGCAAACAGTCCAAACATGCAACGTCTTCTGCTCGATGGGTGCTGAACCTCCCGTAGGGTTCAGTTTAACGCATTGATTTGTGGAAAGCAACACTACAGCCCACTTTGAATACTTTGATCTCCGGTCATAAAATGAGGCACAAATGCCACATTTTAAGACATTGAAAAAGGAAAGCGAACCAAAAACAAAAAATTTATTTCTCAGAGCTCCACTCTGATCTCCATTGGAAATACATCCACCTCATATTGGTTCAGAAGGACCCCCACTGCGTCTGAACGTCCTCTTCAGTCTGACAGCAGGTGAAAAGAGGACCAAACACGTCTTCACACCCTCTTCCGTTTCGTGACTGGAGAGTTCACAGAATCACTGCATCACACACTTCTCTTTCTGCTGTTTGGCGTACTTCCTCCTCCGCTGCTCCAGGCCTCGCTCCAGACGCTCGTCCTCCTCCAGGGCTCTGAGGACAAGGGCAGACGAGGAGAATCACAGAAGCTGCTGAATCATATAGGTGTGTGTATGTGTGCACATGTAAACCACCCACAGCTGTAGAGCCAGTCAAAGACTTTATTCACCCTACAAACAGCAGGGGAAGTGTTTCTCACCCTCTCTCTTTGGCGTCCATGTCGTGGACCAGTTCATCCCTCTGGTTGACCAGTGAAACCAGCTCCTGAAGCAGCAGCTGCTCTCTGTGTTTATGGGCCTGAGTCTTCTGCCCCTCTGCACCACAAAGACAGAGAGGGAAACAAGGAATAGTGAGGAGGGGGATGACTTCGCGCAAAAGGAAATAAAAGAGAGGAAATTCCTCGTTACTGATATCACAACTATGTATTGTGATTATTTATCGTCATCTATGGGGGGGATAATAATGTTATCGCTCTTAAAGATAGTCCAGATTGTTTGAAGTGGGGTTGCAGCAAAACCTATTCTACACACCTAGAAGAATCTATCTCAGTTTAAGTTACGCTAGATGGAGAATTTGTATTTAGAAGACTTTTGTGTTTTGAAGGGTTAGTCACAGGATAACACAGAGAAACTAACTGATGGAGTCAGCGGATGACCAGGTAAAATTATGTTTTTGAAGAGAGCATAGATAACGGCTTCATCTCCCCGTCAAAGAGGGCTGTCTGACAGCAAGGTAAAGGGGTGAACATACTCCTCCGTGAATCGCCACCTTATCGTGGTGGAGGAGTTTGAGTGGCTCAGTGATCCTGGGAGCTATGTTGTCCGGGGCATTAGCCCCTGGTAGGGTCTCCCAAGGCAAACAGGTTTCAGGGGAGAGCCCAGACTAAGAGCGGTTCAAAACAACCCCTATGATAGTTAGCCCACGGACTACAGCCACCTCGCCCGGACCAGGGAAACCGGGGCACCCTCCCGGAGCCAGACCCAGGAGGGGAGCTCGTAGGCGAGTGTCTGGTGGCCGGGCCTTTGCCCATGGGGCCCGGTCGGGCTCAGCCCGAATAAACACCATGGAGCAGCCACCCTGTGGACCCACCACCCGCAGGGACAAGCATCGGGGTCGGGTGCTATGCAGACCGGGCGGCGGGTCGGGCGGGAGGCCCGGGCATGCCGATCGCCGGCGGCATAGACTAGCTCTAGGGACGTGGAACGTCACCTCGCTAGCGGGGAAAGAGCCGGAGCTGGTGCAGGAGGTGGAGCGATACCAGCTAGAAATAGTTGGACTCACCTCCACACACAGCGTTGGCTCTGGAACCAAGCTCCTGGAGAGGGGTTGGACTTTGTCCTTTTCCGGAGTTGCCCAGGGTGAGAGGCGCCGGGCGGGAGTGGGGATACTCACGAGCCCCCGGCTGAGCGCCGCTGTGTTGGAGTTCTCCCCGGAGAGCGACAGGGTCGCCTCCATGCGCCTACGGGTTGCGGGGAGCAAGGCTCTGACTGTGGTTTGTGCTTATGCACCAAACAGCAGTTCAGAGTATCCGGCCTTCTTGGAGTCGGTGGGAGGGGTCCTGGAAAGGGCGCCGCCTACCGACTCCATAGTTCTCCTGGGGGACTTCAACGCTCACGTGGGCGATGACGGAGAAACCTGGCGGGGGGTGATTGGGAGGAACGGCTTGCCCGATCTGAACCCGAATGGTGTTTCGTTATTGGACTTCTGTGCTTGCCATGGTTTGGCCATAACGAACACTATGTTCGAACATAAGGTGGCTCATAAGTGTACCTGGTACCAGAACACCTTAGGCCGGAGATCAATGATCGACTTTGTAATCGTATCATTTGATCTGCGGCCGTATGTCTTGGACACTCGGGTGAAGAGAGGAGCAGAGCTGTCAACTGATCACCACCTGGTGGTGAGTTGGATCAGATGGCAGGGGAACCGGTTGGAAAGACCCGGCAAACCCAAACGTGTAGTGAGGGTGAACTGGGAACGTCTGGCGGAGGACCCTGTCCGGGAGGTCTTTAACTCCCACCTCCGGAAGAACTTCTCACACATCCCGAGGGAGGTTGGGGACACGGAATCCGAGTGGACCATGTTCAAAGCCTCTATTGTGGACGCGGCCGCTAGGAGCTGTGGCCGGAAGTTCATCGGTGCCTGTCGTGGCGGCAACCCGAGAACCCGGTGGTGGACACCGGAGGTGAGGGAAGCTGTCAAGCTGAAGAAGGAGACCTTCAAGGCCTGGTTGGCCCAGGGGTCTCCTGAAGCAGCTGACAGGTACCGGCAGGCCAGAAGGGCTGCAGCTGCGGTGGTCGCGAATGCTAAAACTCGGGCATGGGAGGAGTTCGGGGAGGCCATGGAGAAGGACTTTCGGTTGGCCTCAAGGAGGTTCTGGCAAACCATCCGACGGCTCAGGAAGGGAAAGCAGGGCTTACCCCAGGCTGTTCTCAGCAGGGGGGGGGGGGAACTGCTAACCCGGACGGAGGACATCGTCGGGCGGTGGAAAGAGCACTTTGAGGAACTCCTAAACCCGACCAACATGTGCAGAGGAGGCAGCGCCTGAGGACCTAGGGGGAGGCTCACTCATATCCCTGGCAGAGGTCGCTGAGGTAGTCAAAAAGTTCCTTGGTGGCAAGGCGCCGGGGGTGGATGAGATCCGCCCTGAGATGCTGAAGGCGCTGGACATGGTTGGGCTGTCCTGGCTGACACGCCTCTTCAATGTCGCATGGGGGTC